AGTTTCTTCAGAATCATCCTCTCGCTCTCACATAGCATCCAAGAATGATATAACTTCCTATCTCGTATGCTACATACCATCTCGACGTCTTTTTCTAAACATCTTGAACCGTATAAGCTTTCCCGCATATGTGCAAGCGACACGAGAGCTCTACGAACATCTTTAGTCAACAATACATCCCGACTAAGTTTTGAATCTTCAACCCAGATGGTGTTTCCTTTTTGATACAACATAACGCCACTATAATTCCCTGATACTGATGTAGTCATATCAAAGTGATTAAATGCAACCTCTGGTAGCAACATTATGTAAATTAATATCAGTAGTTCAGTTTGTGGTTCCCCATCGTATGATATCTCAAAATATTCAGTGTCTTCACTGCCACAACCACAGTACTCCAACTTTCTCCATAGTGATACTCTTGCTCTACTGTATCGCCTCGAAAATCGAGACGAACTCCAATCAGTAACCAGCTTCAAATCAATGTTAACGATATCATAGGGATTATCTGCTTCTGTAAATCCGTATCGGTGTAGCAAAGCAGCGTTACCCAGCAAACCATATGTATTGAACACCTAATGTGCAGCAGAAGAAACGAAAAAGTTATTCCAAACCCCTTCAACTGAACATTTTCATGGCAACCACAGAGGTCAACAAGATTTGGTTATGAGTGAAGAGAAAAATCTCTCATTTAACGAAACGAAAAAACTAACCTCATTACCAGCTTTGACATTCTTCACCATGATCATCTCAAGCGTGGTGGGATCACCTCCGAGTTCCGAAGAGTTTGAGTCAGTGTCATATGCATTGTTTAGCTCAGTTAGAAGAGAATCTGGTTCTTCTTTGTCCGGAGGAGAATTCCAGCATTTGGACTCCTCGTCATATGCATGTACATCGTTTAGGTCAGAAGTACTATTATCAGACTCGACATCAGAAGACACCAAGGTAAAGTGTACATCCTCAGCATTCGTCTTGTGGTTAAACCTAGGTTTCAATGAATTGAATGAGAGATAAACACCGAGATCTTAATTCAAACTGAATCATGATGATTATTCAAGTTCAAATTCCATTTTATTCCTTGAGCATCATACTTATTGTAATATAGATTTTATATTTATCAATACGAGAAAATTTCAAGTTCTAGTCCTCAATGAATCTTCCAAAACTCACCAATTTCAAAATAATAATAATAAAACTAAATAAATAAATAAATCTAACCAAAATGTCATCCTTCTTCAAAACAATTTCATAGAGACCTTTGATCATGTAGTCCATTGAACACATGTCACAATATTTTTCTTTTTACTGATTCTTCAAACAAAAACCTAACATAATGTGAACATCATGAAACTTAAATTTAAAGTCCAATCTGATTAAATTAAAAGTTTGAGGTAAAAATTGACCCACTATACCAAACTCAAGAAGTTTTACCTTCAAATATTTTCTTTTGATCATGGATGTTCCCAAAAAATTCTCAACTTTTACACCATAGTTAAATTGGACACTGGCAGACTAAAGATTTTGTATATATATATATATATATGAAAAATTAACCAGAAGATCAAAATATAATATTATAAAAGTTAAGACAAACAAAATATTCAAACTAAAGTGAAAAACACATAATACGTAAGTTTAAGGATCAATAATTCAACAGGTATAAATAATTCCTAACAGGTGCCTAAATCCTAAGCATCTCCAATACCTAATTCGAGACGAGACAAAGACACATGACAAGAAAAATGAGATGAAAAAACGAAGTCCTTGATAGGACTCAAAGCTCCTCCACCACTTTTAAGTGGATCCTTTTGAGAAACAAGTCCTTGGCAGGACTCAAAGCGACTCTATTTGCTACTATTTAGTTTTGAAAAAATAGTTACCATTTGGCCAGACTTTCGATAAGCTTAGTACCTCTCCCGCGCTCTAGAGGCCATATATAATGCATGGAATTGAAAATGGTAAGTATATATATTGATAACAATTTAGAAAAAGGATTAACTTACAGATCTGCCAAAGGGACCATCCCAAACCCATGAAAGTCATCAATCTCGAAAGATCTAGAAGAAATGAGGCTCCTCACAGAAAAATATTGTTCAACGCCGAAAAATTCTGGACTGAACATCAAAGGTGCAGACATCATAAGAGGCACGATATTCTCTTTCCAGTCCTCAAACATAAGGGTCTTGTCTTCTTTCACCGTCTGCCTAAAAGTGTAAGAAAAATCATCTACATAGATTACACTTAAAAGTCACTGCATCATCGCTTTATCATAAGTAGAAATAACAAAATAGTGAACCTACTTGAAGGCAGGAAGTAAAAACAAAACCATATGACCTCAAGTATTTTTTTTCACTAATTAAAAGACCATTATGAGTAGAATTTTTTTACAGATTTTTGAATATACGGAACATAACTTAAAGAAAAACTATTGGGACTTCTGAATCTTGTCACATACATCCCTCTCTCTCCAGCCGATAGATCTCCTAGGAAGGATAGCCCTATCCCTCTTCAGTTCTTGATAGGAATATACCCTTCTGGGTCAAAAATACACGTTTAAATAAAATACCAACAGCTCCTTTCATCACCTTCTTGTAGCCCTGTGAAGCAAGAACTTGATTGTTGAAATCTTCTCGAGTCAGAATGAGAATATCTCCCTAGTTCAGTGGAAATTAACAATGAGAGTGGAGGTGTAGGAAGAAAGAAGTGGTGCTGTCAAGCTCGATATCAAGAAGGCCTACGATACAGTTAATTGAAGCTTCCTGGATAAAAATTTTGTATGCAAAAGGTTCTGGTTCACAGCAGTGTTTTCGAAACACAAAGCGCAACCCGGAATGACAAGTCTCTTAATTGCCTTACAATTTTTAGAAAATGGGAAGTATGGTAATGCTGCTGACACACTTACAGTCCTTAGCTTTCGGTTTCCAACAAGTTTTACTCCCCCCAAACCAGCTCCTTGTAATCCTACTTTCACCATGATATATTCCTCCCCGACCTCAAAGTACCCTCCTTGTCCAACCAATCCAAGAACTTAATTATAACCAAGATTTCTTGTTTCTTAATTCTTGTACGTCCAAAGACACTATAGAGTGTAAACAACCCGATTATTATTAATGGGAAGCCCAGAGGTAGATTTGAGGCCTAAGCAATTCTTGGTACCACATTTCGAGTTAATTACAAAGTCGATGGATCATATACATTCCAAGACTAAAGAGAAGTGTCATAATATAATCATCCTCGTGAATTAGATGTACAATAGCTGCCAAAGAATCCATCAGAACCTTCAAACTAATTCTATATTCGCACATAATTCCATACATAAACTCCCTAACAGAGCAGAGATTAAAATAGAAGCCGAGAAAAAGAACTGGACGTACCTTGTGTAGCTCAGTTCCACGAAGAAACTGGTCCACATCTTCCAGAGACCAGAGCAAGGGTAATAACTCCTTGTTGGGCAGAAGCTGGAGATAGCCAGCCCAATTAGAGTTCTCCCCTAAACTTCTCTCATACATAAGAGCGACCGAAAGCCCCAAATAGCCACCCAGACCGGCTTCTTCTATGATCGAACAGGCACTGCTGGTCTTGACGGTGAGGCAAGCAAGTTTAGGAATGGTTGCAACAACATCCCCTTCCCGCAAATCGCACAAGGCTTTGACGGCAATTCCATCGCCGCAGCTATCCGTGAATTCGAGAGCGTCGCTGTATTGAATGCCTTGGGATGCCATCCATCGCTTGAAAGCTCTCAATCGCCTGAGATTTCAAAATCAAAAGGAAAGGGCGGAATGAGAAGACATTTGAAACTTGATGAGAAGAGAGGAAGAAAGGTGATGAGTTAGAGAACCTGGAAGTCATTGGAGTATGGCGTTTAGGAGGAGGAGGAAACTGGTGAGTGGCACTTCAGTTGACGATGAAGGTCGGCCGTTCCCGTTGGTTAGCTTTTAACAGTTTTTATAAGAAGTAGACTCTTAACCTAAATATTCACGGAGTGACTAAATTTCTGTGTTTTTTTTTTTTTTTTTTTGTTTTAATCCAACTTTCAACCATTTGCAATAATTGACATATGCTTTGTTTTTAAGAAAATCATTCATTAACACTTACATATTAGTACTCACAAGTGTCTCATCATGTGGGATATGTCAGCCCATCTTCCACAGAAAAATTGAAAGAGTTCTTCTCGGAGTTGAAACTATATTATGTTGTGTCAAGCATTTAATTTCAATTTTTCTATCTCGTATGGGTGTATGGATTCAAGTATATTTTTATTATCTCAATCATTGAGTGTACCTTAATTACATTTTAAAAGAATAGTTGAGTCATTCTTTTAGTAGGTGTATTTTAAGACTTGAGAATATTTTGAACATGAAAATCGCTTGAACTTTGGAGAGATTGATGATGAGCTTCCAGTCTTGTGACACGAGTAAAGGTTCAAGTAACCTTGTTATCTTTACTCTTTTGACATTGTCTCATTGGCAAATAAGATAGGCCTTAGTGCTTTTCTTGACATCACTACTCACTACAAAGGTTGGTTATATTTTCCATAAGTAACTTTTTTTCGAACTTTCGAAATGTGGAACATGTAAGCAATTTTCTTGAATCAATTGTTCTCTACTCAAAACTGACCGGTTTTCAGTCTTTGGTCAATTGGATTATAGCTTAAGCATTCAAATCTCTTAACGCGTGTTCTTTAATGGTTTAATGAATAACCTCATTCAATTTTCAAGTTCATTGGATAGCCTTACACACACAGGGTCGGATGTTCACTCTTTTGATTAAAAGTACTAAGAAATTTGGTTAGTCCAATCGAGCATATGTTCAAAGTGGGAGTCAAAATCGACAAGGTACTTGTTCCACTTAACTAATTTCAATGACAATTGTAGCTGGTTGAAGAAGTGCATGTATTATTGTATATTGACTAAATGAACACATGCACTCCAACATCAACACGCAAGAAGAGCTGTGGAACTTCATTTCAAGTTTGCAACTCTGTTTTTTTTTTTTTTTCTCTCTCTTCTCATTTGTTTGTTTTGTTTTGTATTTTTTTTCCTTCAGTGGTTGTCATATAAATCCCAAGTTTCGCCTATCAGTTGAACATATACACAAGAATAACAAAACCAGGAAACAACAAATCTAATCACTGATTTTGGCCCAACTTCTCACCACATCTACACATTCACTACCCCCTAACAACAATCAATCAACTTTTCGTCCCTCCTCTCCCTTGCCCTCCCCAACAAAAACCCAAAACCAAAACTATATACAAATTAAAAATCTCAATTAACATAGCCTAGTCTAGATAGAGTATCCGTCTCCATTTCTCCATTCGTATTCATTGCAACGATCGAGCTTCTGCATTTATAACATACAAATTTCCCTGGGACATTGTCCGAGTCTTGAATCCCTGAGCATCTCGTATGCCACCAAATGTTGCACAAGTCACAAGCTAGCATTCTCTCCCCATCATCGTCCTTGGCTCCGCAACTGCAGTCCACAGTCCACCTTTCCAATCCCCTCTCCATTCGGAACCTGTTCAGTGCCATTTTCCCTTGACATCTTCCTCTCACACGTACTGATTCGGTTTGTCCAAATAATAGCTTGACCTGGGTGGAATCATCTACACCGCCATGGTCGACTATTTCTTCTACTTGAAATCTTTTGAACATCAAGTAAACATCTTGGAAAGCTTTTGATGCTTCAAGCTTCAGGTCAGACATGGTTGCATTAGATGGAAGTACAACTAGTTCCGGAGGAGGTCTTGAGGAGTTGTCTTTCGAGTCTTCCACAACTTCAACCTCACATGAGAGGCATATCGAAAAAGGATTCAACTTGGTCAGTAGCTTCTCAGGTTTATAATCTTTTACAAACTGCTTGCAGTCTATCAGCTTCACGGCTGAGCTCACCGCTGCATCCCTTGTTGCCTGGGGCCCATAGTTTACCATAGAATGTGGATGAAGCATGGCATCGTACAAAAACCTTAAGTCCAACAGAAGATTTTCTTCAGATGGGAAGCTAGAGAGGGAGGACACGGTGCAATCAGTGGCTGTATTCGATGAAACATTGCCCGGTTCGAGCCTGCATAACAAAGATACCCCTTGAGAGACCACACACACTATGGACAGAGGCTTCCAACAAAGTACACTTGTAACAACATGGAAAAAATCATAAACGAAAGTGCATTTCATTTACCTGTATTCAAAAGCACCTGATTGAGGATTGCGATGAGAATTAACAACCATCCCATCAGATGATACTTTACCCCCAAGATTCTTAAGGCAATAATCAAGAAGTTCAGGGGGACCTGCTTTGCACACAGCACCTCTAAGGGTGCGCCAACTTACCCAATTTGACCCAGATACTGCATGCAGCACTTTCAACATTGCTTCTTCAACACGTGTAACATCACTTCTAGTCCACGAGCACAAGACCCTTGACTGCTGCTTTTCATCCGTTACATCATTAATGGTTGACGATGACTTACGAATGTTATGAATTAAGCTCATCAGAAACCTGAAGAGATCTCTCACATTAACAAGCTTACGCTCTGACAAAGACTGATAATATGAAATTATGTCCTGAAGTTGAGAACGAGGCTTCCGTCCTTGTGATGTAACGATTGAGAGAGGAAGGCTGGAGAGGGTTCCAACAGCCATTTTGTAGGCATCAAGAGTCACTCCAAAACTACCAGCACCAAATTCATAACCCCACTCGCCATACCATGGATGGCCCTTGGTGATGGCATGAAGCATCCGGTACTCAAGCCCATACTTCTTAGACACATCCATCACACTTACCTTTCTGCTCAAAGACAATAAAAAGAAATTTCACTCATTCCATGTACCCATAACACAAATAAATCAACTAAACTCATCAGGAAGAATATGCCACTTTCACCTTTTCAGCACTCAAAAAGGAAAGGGTGTTGACATATCCTCCCCAAAGAAAAAAAACTATAGAACTTAAGGTCTCTTTCGAGCAGTTTGGTTCATCCATCATGCATAATTTGTTAATTACACAGGTTTCAAACATAATAAATCATTTCGAGTCAGATCTCCACCAGCCTAAATGTTAAATTCAGAATGCTTTTTCCATATACAGCTTAAATGTTAGCAAACATGAGCATCCAGAGATCAACAAAAGCAAGACACTGACAAGTAAATTTGAGAACTGACTCAAAAACGATCTTCTTTAAACAAATTTTGAAAAGGATTCACTATAGTGAAAGTGATGCCTTACCTCACTCCAAGCATTTTACAAAATCGATCCCAAAAATCCATGATATGGCATCCTGATAAGTGCCTTGAACCACCCTCTCTTCCATTGACTCTGAGAAGGTGTCCATAACCATTTGAGTGAACCACAGCATGTAAAAGATGAGTATTGTTCTCTAGCTGCTGGTACACCCAGTCTTCAACATCATCTGTGCTTGTTACATGATTGCACGACTTGCATCTAGAAACCCAATATAACCAAAAACTCTTCAAAATCGTGAGAAAAAAACAAAAGCAGAAATAATGCTCGGGAAAAAGCTGGTTGTATGGCTATTGGCCATCATTCAACTATAACAATTTTATTTCTACGCAACACAAAATAAACAGGAACTGAATGCAAACAGAAGCAAATGAATGTTGGGCAGTATTTATTCTGTAATACTATCTTAATGGAAAGGAAAGATAAATTAGTAGAGCAGTGATCTGATCCCAGAAATATCAATCCACTTTTGCACACATTAATATAATATTTGACTAATAGATTAGAGTTTATTTTCTAAATTACATAATGAAGGTAAAGGATTTTGTAGATTATCCAGCAGAAATCATATCTAAGCTCGCTTATAGGCGATGATTTGTCCATATCTAAGCTCAATTCTAGTCTCAAAATCATGATAACCACTCAAAACCCATTGAGATAAAAGGAAGAACGAAGGTAACAATTGATAGAAAATCTGGATTGATCAGTCCAGAATAACCATAAACCAGGGAAAGGAGTGTGGTTAATGAGCTCACTTGGACTCGGAGAGATGCAAGACGTCTCCACAGCACATACATGGCTTATGATATCCTCCAATGGAGCTTCCATTAGCTTTTATTATGAAATGGTATCGTTTGGCACACACAGGATGTGCACTCCACCCTAATCATTGGCATACAGTTACAAACAACAAATATCATACATCAAACATCATACATCAAACATCAAACATCAAACATCAAACATCAAACATCAAACATCATACATCAAACATCAAACAAAACACACTCTTGGGCGTTCTCGTAAAGTAATCACAAGGGTATCACAACCCAAATCCTTACAACTAAAATGTATTAAATTCAAACTGTTCCAAACTTAAAAACAGTAAACGAAATGGGGCCAGAGGAGAGTTGAATGAAATAATTTTGTATACAGAAGGAAAAGAGGAACACGCAACTATGGATTTTGTCACATTTTCCGAGATGTGGGGCGCTGTATCCACAAACAAACAAGCCTCAATTTCCATGAAAATGACCCACATCTATTCCTATCTTCTCTCTGCTAAAGAAAAAAGATTCCTCCGCCCACCCACTTTACATGAGGAATCTCTCCTTACGGTGTTGTAATTCGAACTTATCTACTCCATCACTAGACTTAGACCATACAGTAAATAAATCAATAACAAGAAATTAAAAAGAAAAAAGAAAAAGAAGATCATGATCATAGTCATTCATCACCCACTACGACACCGTACTCCCAAAGTTCCGAAATAGCTGTCACTCATGTCTCGGACATTGACATAATATCCAATTTTCTCTACCCGCCACGTGTGAGGCATCGAAGGGTTGTTTCAACACCATCAAATCAAGGCCCGCACATGAAAAGGAAATGAGTTCTCCCCCCATCTCAAAATCTCGTAATTGTCGCGAGATATTGAAAAAGTCACCGGCGGGAGACGAGAAACAAAGCGGAGGAGGCGAAAAAAAGAAGAGAGACGAGCAGTGGAAGGGGACTCACCAACAACACGGCACTGATCGCAGTAGACGGATCTGGATCTGGCGACGTCCTCCTCGACAATATCGAGATAAACGACGGCGGGTTGAGAATCGGGGCCGTCGACGAGGTCGCCGACGCGGAAGAGGATCTGCCAGGTGAGGAGGTGAGGGAAGAGGGAAGAAGGGGGAGGAGGGAGGGCGTGGTTGGTGAGGAAGGTGTGGACGTTGGTCCGGAAGGGGCCGGTGAAGAGGTGGTCGTGGTCGGAATCATGATCGGTGGCGGAGGTGGACATGGAGGAGGAAGGGAAAGAGAGGAAGTCGAAGAGATCAGCAGTAACACGTCTCTTCATTCTCTTGAGGGGACGGGCGTTAACGACCATAGCTGAGAGATGGGGATGAAAAAGAGGCTGAATCCAAGGAAGAAGAGAGAAACAGACGGCGGAGATTAGGGTTAGACTCAGAGATCGGGGGAGGAAGGTTCAACAACGATAGCGGTTTAGGGTTTTTTTCTTCGCCCCCTTTCGGTTCGGGTTCTTGGAATCTTTTTTTTTTTTTTCTTTTTTCTTTTTTCTTTTTTTCTTTTTTAATTTATAAAAATATATATATATTCAGTGAGTGTGTTGTGTTGCGTTGGTCGTTCGAGAGGGTTCCAGTGGAGAGGGGAGAGAGATTTTAATGGAGAGAGTTTCTCAGAGAGAGAGAGAGAGAGGTTTTAATGGAGAGGGAGAGGGAGAGGGAGAGGGAGAGGAGAGAGGGCTTTCTTTTAATAAAGAAAGGTGCGGTCCTCAATCCTTTTTTTTTTCTTTTTTTTTTCTTTTCCTTTTCTTTTCTTTTCTCTTCTCTTTTACTTTAATCTTCCGGTCCTTATATTATCATTACATTTATTTGGTTTGCTTTATTTTTATGTTCTAAATGGTAGTTATCATTGGGGAGAAGATAGGAGTATGACTAGATCGTTTAGATTCTTAAATAGGAGTTAACGTAGAAGTTCTAATGAACTTTTCAAGGAGTAGATTGATTCTTTATCGGTTTTGCCCATTTGAACCCTCATGTCAATTTTGTAACTGTTTCTTTTCTTTTTAGCTCATCAAGCGGTTTTGTGGGATTCATGTCTATGACACTTTGGTTCATGATAAAATACTTGAACTATGGTTGGGATGTCAATTTTCAGACAAAGATAACACAACTAACTTTCACAGTAAAAATTGTTTGAGGAGAAGAACATAGCTTGCAAAGGCTACACATGTTTTAGGTATGTCAAGAGATTTGAGAATGAGAAACATTTCTTTGTTAAGGGTGAAAGAATGGTATTTATGATTTAAAAAAGGACACGTGAGAATCAGTCTTGTGTGCCTCTTATGAGGTCGACCAAGTCCAATTACATTTTTCTCCAAACTATGGATTAAGTTCATTGGCCCAACTCCCTAACTAAAACTTGAGATTAGTTAAAACAGTTGGAACCAGTTGGAACGATCCGAAGTTTATAACTCAACAAAATAATAACAATAATAACTTCCCCTCTCCATATCCAACCGTAATAGCTCACCTAAATTAATATATCTACACTTAATACCCATACACTCCAAAACAGGGCCATAAGTGAATATCAGAGGCAGATTTCATAATTTTATTTCGAAGACAGAAGATATCACTAACGAATGCAGAAGGGCTTAAGACATGAATCCTTTATTAAGAACTGGGCAATCAGAAACAAAACCTTGAAAAATACTTACTAAAATGCCTCTTCACTTGCCTCACTGGATTCTACATTCTAAAAAAATGTAATGTTACATGTAAGCATTCACAGTTAATTAGTTTTCTTGTCGTCGTCTTTAATGGCATTTGCATTTGTTGCTTCGTCTCCTCCATTTTCTTCACCGCCGAAACCGAATTCATTTATACGTTTCTTGTCGACTGGGTATTTCCATCTCTGATACAGATAGATAAGAAATATGATATCTGCAGTGCAACCAATTTACAGCCATCAAATAACTCTTCCATGAATATTATTTCATAACGACGAAAACAACAACAACAAAAAAAAAAGGGACTTCGATCGAGAAACTTCTAACCATCTTGGAACACCGAAAGCCTGTGTAGGGTTGGCATTTTTATGACAAAAGCAAATAGATCGTCAATGATGGTATTAAGGAACTTGTATGTAATCTGTCTCCAGGGGAGATGGGCCACAGACTTGAGCTTGTAGTTTATGAACAACTGAGGGCACATCATAATGAAGCCTGCAAAGAATCCAAATTCGGAAGTAACAGATTACTCAATAATCAAAACTATTCAGTGGTTTTCAACACAGTTCTTCCAAGATTGATCACTGAAACTAACCATACATATTCGCACACAGATTTCAACTTTAAAAAAGTTATATCCTGTTTAGAGAAAAAAGTTGCATCTCACCATTATGAAAACCAACAACTTCCATATTTCCAAATGGAATAATTTATGTGCAAAGTTAGCAACAAAAAAAAAAGGTGAAAAAGTTCAATATATGACAGTATAATAAACACATAAGTGAGAAAACCAAAACGTACAATCTCAGTAGAAATCTATGGCAGATCCACTAATATGCACCCAAATGCTCGAGGATGAAATATCTTACAAACAATTTGTTTGGTTTCACCAAAACATTATATTTTGTGCATAAATACATGATGCATTCTCTTCGCACAAACCAAAATACCACAGTTACACCAGGACAAGTAACCTCTGGCAATAAGAAAAAATATATAATGCGTTTTTTAATGAAGGAATCAGGTTTTTGAGTAAAATCACACATCAGATAAGATTAAGAGCATTGTAAGTGAAAAAGCATGCATAAAAGCACTTAAAGTGACTTACTTGTAAGTGAAGAGAGAATCCAAGAATACCAGCTCTTATATTGTTCATAGGACAAATAAACAGATGAGCAAGCAGCAAGAAAGAAAAGCACATAGGACAAATACTTCATTGCAAGATCATCGTACTTCTTGGTCTTATTTCCTGAATATGACTCACGATCACGGAATCTCAACATAGGTATCCTTCCACTCCTATCAAAATCTGAAAAGAAAGAAAAAATGATAATGATAGAAGATAAGTACTTGCACTATGTTATGAAAAAGGCATGCACAACATTTATACTATTATGGATAGAAAAGGGACTCATTTACAGAAATAAGAGAGAATGAATAATAGACGAATGAAATCATCAGCAAAAGAAAGCTACTAAAATAAACTTTTTATTTTCTTTTGGTCTGAGGGTGTGTGGGCCCATTTGCAAATACAGAGCACAACCACTCAACTCTACTACCCTACTACTATGCCATGGCGTACCTTTTACCAAGGTTGATAAAAACCCATGATACATGGTATCATTTCTGTGGGAACGGAATATAGGCTTCTTGATTCGAAGCATAACTTCAAAGTCAAATGAAGGAAAATTCTTATTTCCTGCATATGACTTGGGATCAAATCTCAACATCGATATCCTTCCACTCCCATCAATCTGGAATGAAAGGAAAATGATAATGAGAGGAGATACATAGTTGCACCGCTATGATAAGAAGATTTAGTTACTTCTAAAATGAGGTTTATCTCAACAATCTCTATCATCTTGTCAAATGGGCTACAGTTAAAACACCTTTTGGAGGAAGGTGCTTAGGGAATCTATGGTATCAAATAAAAGAATAATAGCTTACTGTCTGAGTGGATTTGGCACTTCCACCATGAAAAGAATTCGTTCAGGAGGAAGGTAATTGCTACAAAGTATGGACCATATCACTTCGATTCTCCCAAATCTTTAGTGTTCACCTGATGTAAAGGCAAGTTGCCTTATTTCCATTTTAAATTCTGATTCCCATCAGTTCATTTCCAATTAAAAGAAAATGGCAGGTACAACTAACTAAACTAATAAACAGAGTCGAACAAACGAACTAAGCAACCATAAAAGGAAGCCTAAGGATTTGCACCACATTAAAGCCTGCAATAAGGAGTGCATGAAAAGAGAAATTCGCAAACATGAAAGCATGCTGTTTATTAAGATGCTATGCCAATATATACTAACATATGGATGTATATTATTAAATAAAAAACCAGAAAAAAAAATCTGTGAGCAATGAAGAAATTAAACAAAATAGCTACCTCAATATGCATAGCTTTTCCTATTTTCCAAAACTCAATACAGCAACCAATGCCAGAACTTGCAAGTATCATCCAAGAAGTATCATTATCAAGTAGATACAAGAAGATAATCAGTTGAGATATAAAGCTGAAAATGACAGACTTTGCAGAGAGTCCTTCCATAGACTTATTTTTGTTCCAAAATTGTATATCTGAAGTACAAACCAATAACATAAGTTAGCAAAGCCCATATGTTGTTTCTCAAGATTATAAACAACTAACTCGTTAAAAAAATAGCGACCAAACATTTATTTACCATTCTTGAAGGCGAGCATATAAAAAACCGAATGAAGTAATGAGACAACCATAGTAACTGCCAGGAGATAGAGATTTCCTTCCAAGAACACCCTCTGAAACATAATTCACAAAACACCATTTGGATAAAAATTGGGCGGAGAAAAATAGTATTTCATTGCATTAATTATGTAACCATTGACGTTTAAGCAATACACTTCTTTTTCAAGTTTTTGAAATAGAAAAGACAGATGCTATCATTCATACTAATAAGAACAAAATGTATTTCTCAAGAAAAATTAGAATATCGGCAACATTATGGAAGCAATGGATAACTAGGAGTCTAACTCAACCAGAAGCTAAAGAGATAAATAAAATACTTACGGGAATCCAGAAAACCAAGAATGAGATAAATGAAGAAACTCTTTGATTTTAACAGCCAAAGAGCCCAAGTAATACACACAATCACCAACCTTATCGATTCCTCCCCACATAATGGAAATGTGTGGAAAAGTGTGTGTGTGTGTGTGTGTGTGAGAGAGAGAGAGAGAGAGAGAGAGAGAGAGAGAGAACAACAAAGTAGACATGCAACACCCATGATGTCATAATATAGGTCTTTTTTTGGTTAATTCAGTCCTTAATAGCTTCCTTTTTTATACAAGTTTCAACTTAAATCTTCCAGGCAAAAAATATATATTTGTCTGCGAGAGTTATCATGTTGGAATTTATTTATATTTAAGTAGAATTTTTAAGCTTCAGACAGTTCAGAGTATTCTAGTCCTAAATATCGCATAGATTCCAGTCCTGAAACTGTGATGGTCAGAACCAATCTTTTTTTTAGAATATTCTCTCACATGGTCACATGTAGGGAAGGGAGATTCTACCTTACACTTTAATCGCAAAAATCATCTCTTTTCCCCCTAACATCTCAAACAAATACCACTCCCCAGAATTAAAGAATACTTAAGAAAGAAATCCAAATTCAAAGAGAGTCAGTACCTTCAACTCATCTGCCTCACCTTCAAGCATGCTTCCATAGCTATGGTGAATCTGGAATGACTGATCGATCTGGAGGAATAACTGCCACTTGATCATGCTTATGGGAGCAACTTCCAGATTAAGTACCAGCTCGTCCACTGTCCTGTTAATTTGAACCAACTTATCTCTAAGTAGCCAAAAGTCATTGAAGAAAATGGTTGGATAGTAGTTTCCTGTAGTGGGCTCAACATTCAAGTCTACTTAAGTCAAGAAAGTCAATGCTAAATTTGCTGTTTCAATTCCTACGCCTGGCATGTCAAACGATATCTATCCATCAGCATTGACATGATGTTCCAGCCTACTGTTATGCCAATTCAGCAATTACCAGGATAATAAAGAGAAGAAAGACAATATAATATTTATTGTGCTCAGAGCTTTTGGGAAGAGGAAAAGAAGTGAGACCGAGAATGCAACCATCGTTGTGGCAATAGGGTCAATCATTCAGAACAAACAAACCTTCCTCATGCAAAGAATACTAAATCATAGCATTAAACCATGAAAAATCACCTCTTGCTACACAACAATGTAATTTTACACAATTACTCAATTAATCGTTGGCAACATGAGACAAGAAATAATTACTTAAACAGGGTAATTTAAAGGAGTACGCTTCAAAATACTGATCAAAGGTAACTCAAATCTCCAGCAAGCCATTGCAATTTCCACTTTTTCTCTATATTTCATTGATTTATTCAATATAGGGTTTCTTTTATTAAAAAGAAAAAAATTCATTGATGTATGAAATTTGTAGAAGAAAAAGAAGAAAAAAAAAAGGAGAAACCATGGTACAAAAGGCTCTCCCAGTTGGTTAAGAGAGAAGCATAACTATATGAAACAAAGAAATTATAATTTGTATTTCAGTGCACCTCAAACTTTAAAAACACTGATCCCATTTACTCTTGAAAAAATGCCATAAAAAATCCATCAAGACCCTTACTCCCATCACAACTAGAGATTAATCTTTTAATCTTCTCCGGAGATAAGAATCTGTTCAAGGAGCTTCATATCTTCAACCCTTATATAGTGTCAATCAAACCCACCAACAAACATCTCCAGAAATAATTTTTTATGAAGAAACCAACGTTCATTAACAATAAATGAAGGAAACATTTCCAAAAGAAATTCTGAGAGCATAATAACTATTTACTTTCATGTTCACGAATCATGGTTACACTAAAAGGTGTGCTGGTGATGATTTAAACTCATTGCAAAAAAACAAAAAAACAAAACTTTGTAATTGGTTTATCTTATTGCTTTGTGGTATATATTTTTCTTTCTTAAAAGAAATTAAGCTTTCACTTTTTTATTTTTTTTATTTTTTTTATTTTTATGAATAGCCCAACATTCACTGAGAAAAAAAAAATGAAAGAATATAAGGCAAACAAAATGAAAGCCCACAAAAGGGAGCCAAACTACAAAAAGGAACTTCAATCAACCACTTTCATATTTCTTTTGTTACTTTACCACCTTGGAGATGCCAAGAAAAAAAACCATATTCATGAAGATGGACAAAGGAACATAAAAGGATACAAGGAGCAATATTTGGTGGGACGCCATTATGAGCATATCTGCAAAAAAAAGAAAATTCTCAAGCATTAGTAGATCTGGAACAAGACTAATGCACAATATAAGGAGATAAAGATGAAAACATGAGGTCACAGTTATTTTATATATATACATATATATATATATCAAGGGACAAGAAATAGAAGTTAGCGATGTTTTATGCCACTGACAGAAGTTACAGAAATAGATAGATATGCTGAGAGATCCATCATAGTAGATTAGGTCCCGAGAGAACTATCACAGTAAATCCCACGTATTTGATTTATCAAAAGTAAAGTACAAAGAATATTTATCATAAAAGCAAAAAATTAAATTTTACAAGAAATTGATAAAAGAAAAAAAAGATACGAAACATCAAATTTTTCATAACTTTATTGCTCTAGAAACTTGCAGAGATTAAAGTCTAAAATATTGTAAACATACTGGGTAAAATCATCGACTAGATTAACAGTAACATTTGGTTTCCAATAGGAAACCCACTCCACAGGACCGTCATCTTTCAGAACAACTTGGTCATCATCAATAACCTTGAGCAACAAAAAGTGACATTTGTTTCGAATAAGAATGATATTTCTTGAACATTGATCAAGTATTGATTACCATCAAATGAAATCTGTAAAGAAAAATAGAGCAAAACAGAACAGAACAGAACAGAAATGCTAGTGCAATTTGAATCATTGGATAGATAATGGAAAATACACACTAAAACTATGATCCCATACACAATTATTTCATGTCATTCTACTAAACTCAGACCTTAAATATCCTGGTGCCCATAAGGAGCGTTTGTAATATATCTGACCCCTATCAGAGGTACTTCTGTAGCAAATTAAATGCCAAAAGCATCAATATGCCGTGAAAGTATTTAGTTATACACTTGAACTATATAAGCCCAACCAATCCAATCAACGTGCTTCTCTCCCTGTCATGTACAGTATACGCATCAAAAACAGAAAGTGTGACTACAATCTTTCTGCAGATTCTAGAGAATCGTCTTTTGGTTTATAAAGGTGACTTGGGAGAAAGAATTGTACATGATGATGACAATCTTAATAATAAATGTGATTCTCCTCAAAAGAAGACCATCGTAATCATAGAAAACCCCATTCAAATAAAACAACAGGCACATAAAGCATCTGATCGCTCAAGGGTGTGTGGCCTAATTAGAATCTCTTTGCATGACTTTTATATCAGTGAACAAAAGTTATCAAAACACACTACTCAACTACAAAGGAATCACCTCTTTCAGAGTTTCACCAGTATCAGAACCTTCAGAACTACCCAATAAACTCCTCCTTTTACCTGCTTTTGACTTGGGAAAATACATCACGATAGCTGAAATGAATAGAAGTACACATCCTCAAGAGCTGATATATTATGCATTGCTTGATCATAGACGAAACAGAATAATCTGACACTCAAGATAACAAGGAGAAAAATTTGATCTTACGATGTGCCCTTCCAAATGTAGCAAGAGGCTGAAACTCTGGGTCATTGGGGTCTGGAGTGTATCCTGACCGTGCAAAGAAGACATGTGCATACAAGGTTCCATTTTGTTCCAAAGCCTATAAGAAGAGCTATTTCCTCAAAACCCTCTGACATCATGAATGAAAAACGGGACTAAAAAAAACAATATACAGATGTTTCTGTAATAAGTTCAACAGTACCTCAGATGGATAGTACTTGAATGAAAGAGACCTGCTACTTTCTTGCCCCCAAACAGCATAAGGTATACCATTCTCATGCCAAACAAGCGCACCTTCATCTCCAAAGTCATTAAACCTTTCATGCTCAGAAAGATACACCCACATATCCTAAAGGAAATTAATGCAACTGGTAACAGGATCTATCATTAAAAGTAAAAATTAGACAAAAATAATCCGCTAGATATGGATAAAAGTAACAAAACCTACATAATATTTATCCTACGATGTCAAGAACCGTTAAGTTTTATTATTTACAGCAATAACAGCTTAAATATCAATTCAGGAAACTCGCAGTTCACCAAGAATAATATTCCACAAATGCCTTCGAACCACCATGGTGGCTAGAGGTCATTCAGACTAGAGAAGAAAAGGAAGTAAAGAGAGAGGGAATGAGTTCGAACTCCAAGGTGGCTGTCGAACTAAAATATTAAAATTCTCTGAGTTTCCTAGTACGGTTAGGTGGTCGTCCCATTAGAATAAAGAAAATGAAGTGCCTTCGTATTTTAACATACACGTTCGTGTACATATGAATTGAGTGCAACGAAAATGAAATGTCTTTGGTTTATAACATACACGTTCATGGATATATGCATTGAATGCAACGAGTGAAATAACACACATCAAGTTTCACGCATTCACGCATGCCCGAAGATAAATAGAAGAAAGAACTCAAAAGCTGAAGGACCACTAAGAGCCCTTCAAAGAAATTGAAGTGCAGCGATTTATGATAAGCTTAATATCCACATCACATGCTTGGCGCATTACACAGAAGCTTTAGGATGGTTCTGTAGTAAAAGATATCAGTGTTGTGTTAAGAATCATAGATCTCCACAGTGGTATGATATTGTCCACTTTGAGCATAAGTTCTCATAGCTTTACTTTGGGTTTCCTCAAAAGGCCTCATAGCAATGGAGATGTATTCCTTACTTATAACCCCATGATCATTCCTAAATTAGCCAAGGTGGGACTCCCTCACAACAATCCTTGACATGTTGAACTTCCAATCACTTCAATCTTCAACGATAAACATCAGGAAACATAAGTAACCGACTATAATTTCTAGAGTGAAAAGCCATTCCATACTCTTCTCAGCATCCAGCAGGCTCAGTTCGAATTTCCGAGAGAAGCATCCAGCATACAAACAAATATAAATATTCTCAAAAAAACCAAATCCAAAATTGTTCATTACTCGGAATACAGAACAGGGAGAACAACAAGTACAACGGAATCATCAAACATTCAATTCAATTCCATTATTCAACCATACATTTAACAATCCAAGTGCATACTTACCAGCGGTTCACCCTTCTGAAAGAGATTGGACATTAGAATAGCAGAATCAGAGGGCTTTTTGGGAGCAAAGAATTTAGAAGCGAAGTACCAAAAGACTGCGATCCTTATGATTCCAGTAAGAGACTGAGCGAAGCCTCCTTGTTGCTGTTGCTGTTGCTGTCCGCCTGCTCTTGGTGCTACTGCTGCTCCTCCTCCTCCGCCGGGACCCCCCACTACCGCCGGCGTCGCCATTTCTACTTCCTGCAAATCTAAGATAGGCGCAAAGGGAGAAACTGGTGCTAGAGTTTACAAGAAGCTTTGGTATTTATATGTATTTATTCCCCTCTTCTTGGAGAATCACTTTTGGAGGTGAAGGATGCCATGCGATGGCCACGTCACCCTGAAAATATAAATATCGCAGGTCCATCTATATACATATATCTATATTTTGCCATTTGGCAGCATATTTCTTTTTTTCTTTTTTTTTTTCCTGTATATTAGCTTAGATTTGTTTAAAAAAATTGCTTTAAATTTTAAAATTTTAAAATGTTTCAAAAATATTTTTGGATTTACAAAATTTTCATTAATACTCTCTTTTTTTTAAAAAAAAAAAACTTTCAATTTTTTAAAAAATTAAAAAATATTTTTATCATGGGGAGTAGTAACATTAAAAAGTTTGGACGTAATCTATAAGGTATCGATGACGATTTTCGTTAAGAATAAATTTAAAGCTAATGCTATTATAAAAATTGGAAGTGTATTTTTTAACTTTTCAAAAAGATTAAAATGTATTTTTGAAACAAGGTACAAACGGTTTGTTTTTATTAGTTTAGCTTCATTTTTTAACGTTTTCTTAGGCTGATTTGAGTATAGTTTTGGAGAGCAAAAATGAACACAATTTATCAATAATTGACTTGTAAAACGAGTAAAGTTGATGATGATAATAAAATCTCGGTTATTAACCTATAATAAAATTTGTGAATTCAACAAAATCTACTTTAAAGGGTGTTTCGGGTGCATAACAGTTTATCTGAAGTTATTTCTATTGTGTTTGAAGTGTCTAGTTGTTTAGTTTAGAGTCGTTTAATTTGATATGAAAGTACGATTAAAACTTGAGGATAGTCATGGCTCGGGCACGCCGATCGAAAAGCTTGAATAAAAATTAAAAATAATCAATTCCCTTTCATTTTATTTCATGGATTCTGACTTGTTTTCTTAGGAGATTCCAAAGGAAATAATGAAAGCAACTCTGGTTGGGCAGACCCATGCATGGACCTTGGAGATGGATGCAAATAAAATCTCTTTTCTCTCGTTGCCCTCTCTTCTTCAATGCTGTTCAGCTCCTTCTCCCCGTCCCCAATCGACAGCTTCGACATGATCTTCAACGGTGTCCCGACCGGGCTCGTAATGAAGCTAGGATGGTCAGCTCTCGGTGGTGTCCCGACTGGGCTCGTAATGAAGCTAGGAGGCTTGAAATGGGAAAGAGATGGTTTCACAATTTGTAGCTTTGGTCTTGTCAAATGCCTCCTTTCATGCAGTTTGGATGTTGAGGTCGGCCTCTTTGATCCCGTCGCCTTCGACGATGGCAGCGTGTAGCTTTCCGATGGCCCGGTTAGACGTTGCACAACCTCTCGAAACGCGGTTGTGTCGGTTTGGACGAACGTCGTCAAAGGCTTGCACTTGACAGGAGTTTGGGTGCCTGGCTTCTCCATTACGATGGTGCCTTGCAGCATTGTTTTGAGAGAGGGAAGAAGAAAGGAAGGATTGTAATTCCCATATGACATTACAACTCATAGGACAGTTAGAACAAACAAACTGTGAAATCAAAATTCCATTACAACTCATATTGTTTGTTTCTTTCTCAATATCAAAAGACAGAGAGAGATGACATTGACAGGAAATGCTATTTTTGACCAAATCCTAATTTTGGTCTTGGGTCAATGTCGTATGGTTCGATTTCATGTCCGATGGAGTGTTCGGCTTCCTTGACTCATCTTCCCCGTGCGACCACCGCCATCTACCATCGTTTGAGTTCGTTGTCATTCGTCTCCACTTCACTACCATTCGACTATCGCACCACATGAACTAAGTCTTGTGTAGGCAACAAAAGGTATGTAGATACTTTCTTCTTACCATCTCCTAGTCTTTTCCTCTATCAAAAAAGTTATCTCCAAATCATTTTTTGGAAGCGATCTCCTAGTCTTTTCGTTTTGGACTTCCCCTCATGGTTTTTAAAACACCATCTACTAGGGAGAGGTTTCCACATCATTTTAAATAATGTTTCGTTTTACCCCCAATCGATGTGAGATCTCACACTGAACCTCTTAGTATACTATTCGATAGGTCGGTCTTTATTAGATCGACAACGTCTAATTCAGTTTGCAAGTTAATCATCGAAGGTCGTGTTCATTTAACGCAAATCATCCCATCCTAATACATAAAAGACCTCCAAAATAAGCCGATGAAGTGTTAAAGAGAGATAGAAACAGGTAAAGAAACACAAAAACAAGTCCAACTACATTGAATTATTGAGTAGCAGAATAAGAAGTGACAATAGAGAGAGAAATTATAGCTTTTAGAGTTTGCAGACCTTTAACCAACAATATATGAACACATTAAGAACTTACTCTTTAAGTCTGCTATGCGGAGGTGGGTGGAGGAGAGCCATAATTATTCAACACTACTGTACACATAACAACGACCAACCTTAACAATATAATAACACCACATACTCTATGTTATGCTCTGTTTCTAAGTGATCAAGAATTCTCCACTCGCATGCACTTCTTTCACCCTCTTATCATACTCGTCTTCTTCCTCGTCTTCCTCCTCCTCCTCTTCCTCTTCCACCTCTCCCTTCCCTTCTTCGTCTTCCTCTTCCGTTCCCCATCCAAACCCCTTCACGGTCGTTGACGATGGGGGCGGGTTCCTCGCCTCCCCCACGATCTTCATGATTTCTTCCTCCGTTTGAAGCGAGAAGCTCGGGTGGCTACCCCTTTGGTAATAGATGGCTTGGGCTGATTCTGTCAGTTCCCTTGGCAAGTTCTTTAAGAACCATGGGTGACTCTTTATCTCTTTTAGTGAAATTCTCTGTCCGTATCAAGTTCAAAACATCATAATGAAATCAAGACGAGCGAGAAACTCATATTTAGGCGTTGAACTAAATGTAGGATTCGAGGATATATGAACTCGAAAAAGATATCGCTTTGGAAGGTCTAGAATTTTATCCTCGTGTTAGAGCCTATTAAGGATGGTCTACGGTAGAGAATTTGTATGGGGTGTCGACGTTTGAGGACAAAAGTGAAGCGTGTTTTGTTCTCACTCTACATTGAAGACAATAAACTAGTCGCTAGAAACCCTTTTTGGCTCGTTTCCCACGCGACTTCGAGCTGAGAATAATCACTCTATGAGCTAGGAAATAGGACAAACTTCAGATATTTCAAGCAGTTTCACCAAATTTAGAGAGACAAAGATGGGTCTTGTGTTTTGGCATCAAATTTCAATAAGAATTGCATGTTATAGAGTTCATTAAGACCGATCGAGCTCACTCCTATGCTACTATTGTACCATTTCACAAGATTCAGAATGTCAAACAAAACTAATGATATGAAGTGAAGGCGATAATTTTATATAGAACTCGAAAATAAGGTAATGATAAGAATATATAATTTTGTGACAGAAAAATACCCTTGATGGATTCGGGACAAAGATGCGAGACAGTAGGTGTCGACAATCTTGAGATATGTGAACGTAGTCGGGTATTTTGTACTGTACAGCCATTATTCGCTGCAGGATAACGAAAAAAAAAACGTGAGAAAGATGATCACTTTACTAAAATTAGTATGCAGCACGGCAAGAGATGGACCTGAATGGTTTTCCTGAAGTTTCTAGGATCATCCTGATCTTCAAAAGGGTATGCACCAACCAACATAACATAGAGAGTCACTCCACATGACCATACATCTGCCAACTACACACGACGAAACAGGATGATACCGATAACCATACTATCTCAATGCACAATGCGAGCCATGATTAACAATCAAATCTTTGTAAACAAATTAATGGAAAACAGAAATCTAGGACATAAAACTCGATTATCCCCAAAAAGGAAGGTGTTTCTTGATATAAACGACCGTGAAAACGTGAATGTATCTTGAAAGGTCAAGGAAATTGGAAAAATATGCACGTACGTACCTTTCCATCATACTCTCGTCGAGAAAGAACCTCTGGTGCTATGTACGCCGGAGTACCAACAGTTGATTTCGGTCTTGAATGTAACAGCGATGACTACAGAAGAAACGAACAATACGACAGCATAAGTACAGAGAAAAAATGAATCAAAGAGCGTGTTAACGAGAAATGATCGAATAAATTTCTCATCTTCAAACACCTTGGAGTAGCCGAAATCACAGATCTTCAAGCGTGGGGCAGGGCTGCCATCTAAAAGGGTATTCTCTAGCTTTAAATCTCTATGACATATTTGCTGCAACGCATCGTGTCAAATAAGATATGGTATAGAATTTTAAAACAAGAAACCATATGAGGCTTAGTTTGCTTTTAATTCTACCATTGAATGGCAATAATTGACTCCAGAAATCAGCTGCTGGAAGAAATATCTTGCCTGTAAAAATAAGATAAGAGAATTACACGACTTCACAAAGCTAGCAATTCTTCTATTATACTCAGTAGTCCACCCCACTAGTTCCTAGGAGGGCTCTGCTCACCCCAAAGGTCAATTTCGAGGGATATCAAAGATAGATTTTAAGCCGTGAAGTTTTCGAGCCTTCTGCTTGAATCTACAAATTGGAGGGTATCTCCAAACATCCAAGCCATTACCTATAACAGCCCAAGCTCACCGCTAGTAGATATTATTCTCTTTGAGCTTTCCCTTTCGGGCTTCCCCTCAAGGTTTTTAAAACGCGTCTGTTAGGGAGAGGTTTTCACACCCTTATAAGGAATGTTTCGTTCCCCTCTCCAACCAATGTGGTGCCTCAAAATCCACCCCCTTTGGGTGCTTAGCATCCTCGCTAGCACACCCCCCAGTGTCGGGCTCTGATACCATTTGTAACAGCCCAAGCCCTCCACTAGCAGATATTGTCCTCTTTGGACTCTCCCTTTCGGGCTTCCCCTCAAGGTTTTTAAAACGCGTATACTAGGAAAAGGCTTTCACACCCTTATAAGGAATGCTTCGTTCCCCTCTCCAACCAATGTGGTGCCTCAAAATTTACCCCCTTTGGGGGCCTAGCATCCTCGCTGGCACACCCCCAATGTCTGCCTCTGATACCATTTGCAACAGCCCAACCCCACCGCTAGCAGATATCGTCCTCTTTGGACTTTTCCTTTCGGGCTTCCCTCAAGGCTTTAAAACGCGTTGGCTAGGAAAAGGTTTCCACACCCTTACAAGGAATGTTTCGTTCTCCTCCCCAACTAACGTGAGATCTCACATTACCACATGGAAAACCCCTCAGTAATAAAGCTAGTAATCCCTAGTGTATGATAGAGTAGATAATAGACCTCATCTTCACTAAAACGTCCAGCATTGCAAATCCTTTCAAAAAGCTCTCCTCCAGCAGCATATTCCATCACTATAGCCAAATGCGTTGGCGTCAAAACAACCTGCAAATCATAAACCAACTTCAAATCTATCTATTTCTTAATCCAAAACTTGATGCATTTAATAGCAACAGCTTCATCAACTCTTCACCAATTGCATGGTATTAGATTACAGAAACCTTAAAAAACGTAAGAACTTGCCTCCTTGAAACGAATGATATTGGGATGCCGAAGCGATCGATGGTTTATAATCTCTCTAGCCACATTCTCATCTATCTGTCAATACAACAAAGCATCAAAACCCCCAATTAAGCCATCCATATGATAAACAAGGTTAATCTCAAAGCAACAACGAATGAATTGAATCAAGAACAGAAAGAACCTTATGACCACGTTCTATGTACTTCATGGCGACAAGCTCTTTGGTCTCCTTGTGCCTCAAAAGCCTAGCGACCCCAAAATTCCCAGCACCCAAATCCTTAACAACTTCATATTTATCCATTTCTGCGCAGAATCAAACAGCGTCCACAAACCCACAAGAAGAAAACAGAACAAAAATCAATAGCAATATAAAGAAAGGGTTTCTAAGCTCATTCGATTCAAAATACCAAATGGGGTTTCGCGATCAGATCTGAAATATACGAAAAAGGGTGTAATACTTATAGAAACTTGAAGAAGTGGAAAGAAAGCACGTGGAATTGGGCTTACAAACACGAAGAAAGCGATTGAATAGAGGGTATGGGAATCCACAAGCACCAGCTAGAATCCAATCACTGCCTCTTCAATTGAAATCCCACCTCGTTTTTCCTTTTGATACTCACTTTTTTGGGGTTCTTTAATATGGGAAGTGTGTTCGGATCTGTAAAAACGCCGTTTGGTGAGGAGAGAAGATGTGGGGGTACCCTTTGAATTTTGGGGTTTTTTTTTGTTTTCTTTTTGAGGGTTCACACTTGTTCTAATTCTAATATCCCCTTCCTCGTCACCACCGTTTCATTCCTTGACCTGTGACGGCACTGCGAGAGAGTTCTTTTTTCTAAAGAAATTTGCAAAAAGGCAGCCGTGGAATATCATAGCAAGTGGGTGATTCATTGCTTGATTGATTTCATTTGAAGCTAACTTTTTTGGATTATCAATTTAATTCTTTGGGTCTCTCTTGGTTGAAAGTCAACAAAGTCATCCTGGCTTGGCTTGGCTTGGCTTGTAGTAGATGAATTTGAAAGGATAAGTTTCACTTTAAATTTAGTTTAGTTATTTATTATGAAGACCTAATGGAATGATATTTAGAAAGGGAAACTTTACTTTATGATAGTTTTTTTTATAATAAGAAATATGTAATGTTATGGGTGAGATTCTTTGAACATTAATAATTATCGAAGTGGGTTCAAACGATTCAATAAGGTGGGTCCTAATTAATGAAATGAGACAAGAAGCACTTGATTTAGAAGACGACAATCCAACCAATGTGACTAGGGAGATTGTAGCCCAATTATGTAAATCCGAAACCTGCCTAGTAAACTTAGTTCGATACAGTGAGACCCCACGAGCTAATCTAGAGGTTGGAGGATCAATACCAAACCAAATAAGTCTCACCCACTTAGGTGAGATTCAAACGATCACTTGACCAAATTATAATTCGCCTAGACAGGTTTTGTGTTTGAATTGCCTCAATCAAGTACAAATACAAGGCTCGAAATCACATTAGATCAAATAAAGCAACACATAAAGTTTGTTTAGTTTATAATTGTAACACAAAATTGGGATTCACTACTTTATCATAGGCGTAACGTAGTTTTATAAGGCTATTGAAATCTACTTTATTTTTATTTTTAATTTAATTTTTTTAATATATAATATTAAATATAACAAGAAATTAAAGGGGATGGAGTAGGACTTGGATCACATTTTCGATCCATTCTATACTTTAAAATTTTTAGATCTAAATTAAAATAAAATGGAAAAGTAGTTATAAGATTTAAAAAGTAAAGAGGAATATGGGAGATGAATTTGGGAGAAATGGACAGTTGGTGCCATAATTCAAAAATGATGAGCTCAAAATTCACACTTTCTTCCAAACAGGCAACGTGGTGGCCATGCTATCACCATTTGAATGTGGTATGGAAACTCTCTCCATTCGCGCCTTCCCTAAATCTCCCTGAACGACTAAAAAATAAAGGGTTGTGAACTTTATTCAAGTTGTTTAGATCATTATTCCAACCAATCAAAAACTCTGGATTGATCCAAAAGATCTCTCCAATCCAATATCGGTAGATGTTATATATGAATGGATAATATAGGTATATTTGCAGTTGGTTAGTTATAGAGAGAAAAGAAAAATGGAAAAATAGGACAACAAAAAGTGGATAAAATAAGGGAGATAATGTGAAAGTTATTGATTTGAATACAAGATTCCAATTTTATCCTAAATTTTGGTTTTGACGAAGATAAGCGTTGGGCTTTACCTTTTTTCTCAGCCCATTTAAAACTAGAAGGCCCAAAATTTTGATTTTGGTTACGGCCCAAGTTTCATTTCTTTTTTCAACCTCCTCGCAGTGTGGCCCATTAATGTAATTGCTTTGTGAACTTTTATATTTGTTGTGCATTACGTGTAAATGTTTTCGTAAAGCTTGATTATGGGACCATTTACATGTGTAACACAATAGCAATACAAAATGTATAAAATGTTGAAACATAGAGATCAAGCTCAAAACCAAAATGAACCAAATCAAATATTAGACACGAAAAAAACGTACAAATTAAAACAAACAATATCATACCATATCTCACCATATCATCAACAAATAAAATAACATTCACATATTTTAAAAATAGAAAGTTAACATTTAGGAGATAAAACCTGATAAAGAGTCCATGGATTTGGTAAACCCAAATGATCACTTTTAGACTAAATTCCGACCTTTTTCAAACCAAATTTGTACTTTTAACCCTTAAATTTTTTCAATAATTCCAACAACATTTCAACAAAATTGAAGAAAAATAAATCAATCAAATAAAAAAAAGAACATGGAGACATGAATAGATTAGATTACACCCAACGAAGAAGAAATTGTTTTGTGAATATATAACAAAGGGAGGATAGTAACAATAATAATAATAATAATACGAAGAAGAAGAAGAATGTAGGAAGGGAAAGGATTATCAAAGAGATTTGGTCTTGAAGCGGTAGAGGAGTTTCTTCTTCTTGGAGGTGGGATTGTGTAAGGACAGGACCAGCTTACCAGGCTCAGAGGTCTTAAAGGTATTTGAAAGAACAGGATCAGACGCTGCTACTACTCTTCTAGGCTTCTCGATTATGACTGTGTACCCTCCTCCTCCTCCTCCTCCTCCTCCTCCTCCCCCCTCTTGGCTCGGCACAAACTCTGCGCCGTACCTCACTTCCCATCCCACCACTCTAACCTCCCACGTAACCACGCATCCCTAGTAAAACACACACACACACACACATCCAAAATTAATTCAAGTATCCAATGTGATGTGGAACACAGAATACGAGATATGATGCTATACTCTTCTGTTTTCTTTTCTTACAACCAAACCTGAAGAAAAGGGGAAAAAAAACAAAACACAACAGGGAATTTCCAACACCCCTTCCTTTAAAATAAAGACTCTGAGCCCTCACTCCTCATGCCCCATTTCGTCTGCCATTTCCAGAGAATCCAATGAACAAATGCACATCTTTTAACACAAATATCCCTTTCTCTTTTTTTTTTTTTTCTTTTTTGATCCAAAACAAATTTATTGTTTACCCTACCCTACAATTTTCCCATTTAATAACTCATCCGAACAAAAAAAAAAAAACCCTTTAATCTTCACTCTTTCTTGGAATTGAAGGAAAAGAGAAAAGAAAAGACCAACCTGAGTGACTGGGAATTCCACGGTGTGTTTGGCCGAGGGTTTCATCGTAATTTCAGTCACGCTATCACATGTCTCGAACTCTCCATCTTTGCTCATTCCTCCATACTTCACTGGCAGCTCTTGCGCTGTTACGTATCTGTGTGTGTATTATCAACTCAGTATTTTATCCAAATGTTCTTGTAAAATTTAAATTTTGTATTCTCTTACTCTTCCCTAAGAGACTTCCAAACAAAGAACTCAAGAGTTGCACCCATTTCGAATCTTCCACGTTCCCCAATTACAATAAAATATACATATATTGCATAGAAAAACTTAAAAGTCATTTTTCACATACATCGAATCAGAGAATTTAAGAACATTGTCCCTAAATTTAAGGTCAGTAATCGTTTTTACAATTTACAGAAACAAAAAGCTGCAATCAATCCAAATAAGAAGGTACCTGAGAAGGGTCTCTGCAGATTTAGAAGGTCCAGCAAACACAAACTTGCTCTTGCTTCTTTGTGTCATAAATGGACTAATCATTCTATTCACAGCCAAATACCACCAAGGAACATTGATAAACACCTACCCAAATTCAAACCAAAACCAGAATAAAAATCATGAACTATAATCACATCATAATAATCATAACAACATTTGTAGTTGGGTTTAGGAAAATTGATTAAAAAAAAACCTACCCAGATTCGAAACCAAATCCAAAATCAGAATAGAAAATCATCAACTAATCACGTGATAATAATCATAACAATAATTATAGTTGGATTAAGAACCTGTCTGGCAACGAATTCTGGGTAGTTATCTTGGAAGATCTGAACGGCGTCTTTGGTTGCTTGTCTAAGCTCCCATTTTCCCAGCCCTGGTGAGTTCTTGAGATCGTTAACATGAACAATCGTGCAGACTCCACCAGGAGTGAAATCCAGTTTCCGAATGCTTTTTTCCAAAAACTGAATTCTCCACCGGAGAAATTTCTGCCGTTTCTCCTCATCGGAAAATGTCTTCTGATAAAGCTCTCTGTTCTGGAACTGACCGTACACATTGTAACAAACTGGATGTCCTTCTTTGTCTGATCCATGCATAAACGCTACTTTCTCCAAATCGGTTCCTAAATCTTCTTCTAACAGTTCATCGATTTTGAAATCCTTTCTCCAATGGATTGTGTTCTTGATCATCGCGAACGATTCTTTCACTTTGAAATCCCTTGCTCTGAGGAATTTCAGCAATACGACGTCGCTTCTTTCATCCGCCAGTAGCGGTATCCCCCAAATTGAAACCTCCTCAGGCGCCGCCGAAGTTGGCTCAGAGTTGGCTGCGTTTTTGTCTACGCCTTCCTCCGATGGTGCTGTGGCGGAGACGGCGACGGCAACGACAGTCTCTTCAATTGCCTCGACTGTCTTTGCTCCGTCGTCGTCCAGGGCGGTTTCAGTTTTCACTGCGACCAGCACTTTCCCAGCCGCAGGAGGCGTCGTTTCATTTGATTTCTCGATATTTTCTGCTTCCTTATCTTCATTCGTTTCGGAAACTTTAGCTTCGGACTTCAGTGGCTCTTCTTCATCGGAGAGCTTCAGAGCATCATCAATCGGTTCCTCCGTCTTCTCCACCACGGCCTCTGATACAGTATCTTCAACTTTGGCCGGCAATGACGGTGGAGGAGAAGTGAACTCGAACTTGTTAAGCGCTTCCTGAATAAGCTGCTTAAACTCCTCCAAAGCCTTCTTCTCGGAATCCGAAAGATCGGCAACTTTAGTGCTCTCTTCCTTAAAAGAATCAACATCGGCTGTGAGTTTCACACCATCGCCGGACTTCAAAACTTCAGTCTCCGTGGCAGTAACAACGTCGCCTTGAGACAGAGTAGCAGCATTGAATGGCTCATTTTCCGCCGGTTCCGGTAGCAGTGGGAGATCCTTCCTATCAGCCTTCTCAGCAAGAGGGACATCGGTGACACGAACTTCTTGGTCAGCCATGGTGGTGGGGAAAGGGAAAGGGAAAGGGAAAGGGGAAGGAATGGAGAAAGTAGAAAAAGGGTTTTAGGGTTGAAAGAGAAATGGATATGGCGGTGGCGATGGCGGAGGTCGTGGGATTCAGAAAGGGAAGTTTAAAGAGTGGGTTAGGAGCTGCGGCGATATGTAACATTCATCATTTGAAACGCAAAAAAAAAAAATAATAATAAATAAATAAAATAA